TACACTGGCTGCATTAGGTGTAAGGCCCTTTTGTGTTACCAAGGGAAGGTAGTAAAGTGATTGAAGTGCTATTAAGAAATGTGCCTAACATTCATACTTGATCTCATAACTGGAATTGAAGAATTACTCCAGATGATGAATTCTATCTAGAACTTATTTTAGGTAACAGACATACAAAAAATGGCACAAAATTCCAAGGGATGAGCAGTAATCTAGAAAATATTTCTGCTTCTTTTATAGCTATCATACTACAGTTTGGTAGGTTCTTGTTAACTTGTTTGTTATTTAATGTTTTGATTGTGCTAGTGAATAATACAAAATATTAACTAGTGCTTGTTTGTAGACTGTACATCTCTCACACACAAACTATTTCCGTTGTTTTGCTGTACATCCAGTGCTTCACTTGACTTGTATGTTGCAGCTAACTTGCAACGATTTGTATAAAATACATCTTAAAATGTTTTATGTATTTTTTAAAACAAGAAAAGCTTTTTGTGGGTCTTTTTTCAGAGATCTTGATGCCAGAGCCAAGAGCGAGAGATACCGTGCGTTGTTCCGACTTCCCAAGGATGAGAAGTTAGATGGACACACAGACTGTACTCTCTGGACTCCATTCAACAAAATGCACATTTTGGGTCAGATGTTTGTTTCTACAAACTACATTTGCTTTACTAGTAAAGAAGAGAACTTGTGCAGCCTTATCATCCCTCTTCGAGAGGTAAATTTATGTCTTTGTAAATTTACAGGGCAAAAAATAAAGCAATATCTTCTTGGAAACTGCATCCTTGCTTTGTTTTTTTCATTGCTGAAGAAAACCCTCTTTTGATCCTTTTAATCTCATGTTCTAATCTACTGTTCTAATGTGTTCTGAGTAATATTTAATGATTCTGTGTCCTAGTTCAAAGTTCCTGCTGCTGAAATTCACAGGGAGTTTTCTCTGTCAGTTTTTACAACCCTGATGAGTCCTTCCTCTCCCACAATTTATATTCTGATTTACAGCCCCATGGTGGTACTTTTTGTCCCCTGTAGGGAGGGATGAACAATGAAATTTCCTAGACTGATGAGTGGAACTTTTATTAAAGACTTGCTTTGAAAATTTGCTTTTGTCAGCTATAAAAAAAAAAAAAAAAAAAATTCATAATACTAAAGATATTAATTGTCCCTTCACACAGACTTGTAATCATTTATTCTTGAAATAAACTATGGAAAATTTGTCAGCATTTTACAAATTGGCATGCTTCCACTTTTAAAGCTGACTGCTTAAAGTAGATGTTAAGTAAATAGAATATGTTTAGTGCAATTAAAAATACAGAGGGGAGGTTTTTTATGATTATCTGCATTTGTGAATTTATTTGGTTTTAAGGGTAGTAATTGGGAAAGTTTAGAACATGCAGCTGTTATGTAATTCATCTACAACTAATGACTTATCCCTGAGATTTTTGTGTTAAGGTGCCCTGTACTCAGTAGATTTTGCTGTGAGCACTGTTTACAGGCTGGAGTTCCCTTAGATCAGTGACCATTTCACTAGCAACCAAAAGTCAAACAAACCCCCACCTTTCAGGGTCAGATGTTTTCCTTTGTAAAGAAGGACCTGGGGTTAGTTTCCCTCTGTTCCAAGTTTCTGTACACCATGAAAATCCAGCTGCAAGAATAATTACCACAGTATGCAGCTAGAATACAGTAGAACAGGAGTGTTCATCCCCTCTTAAATCCTTGTATCCAAATCTTGTTTTCCCACACCGATTCCATAGTGATCAGTATAAGGGGGGGAAGGGGCATAGGTTTATTGTATTAAGATGGTTTCTTAGACCAAGCAATGTGATTAATTAAAGATCTTAAGCTGTAGCTGCTGTTTCTGCCTAGGTGACAATAGTGGAAAAGGCAGACAGCTCCAGTGTGTTGCCCAGCCCGTTATCAATCAGCACAAAAAACAGAATGACTTTCCTCTTTGCCAACTTGAAAGACAGAGACTTCCTTGTACAGAGGATCTCGGACTTCCTGCAGCAAACCACTTCAAAAATATACTTGGAAAAAAACATTTCTGGAAGCTGTATCAGCTCAGATGATGAGGTATGTGGAGGAACATGAATCGCTTACTAGAAAAAGAGGATTTTAACTGGTGGAGGGAGAGAGAGGTCAGGAAAAAACTGTTTTTGTAAACCTAAAGCTTTCTACACAGAAATGTTAGTTCTTTTGTCTTAATGACTTTAGTGTCCTTAAGCTGAACACTTAAAATGTTAGGATATCTGGTTTTTTTTCATGTTAGATCTATTTTTCATGCTAGACCACCACTGCTGTGGAAGAGCTACTCTAACTCCTGCTGCCACGTTCTGAAATGGCAATGTATCTCATTGGAAAGTGTCATATTAACTATTGGCTGATTGAATAATACCATTTATTATCTGTCAACGTCTCCAAGTAAAAATGTAATTCTGAAGTTTTAATATTTTGATGAAATTATCAGTGGATGTGGAATTCATTTTATTCAAGACGTTAGCTGCTGTATCTCATCCTTTGATTCTTCAGAAAACTGAGCTGAACAAGTTTGCATGAGCACTGCTAGCAAACTTTGGAACATTTGATCTAAGAGAAGAACCCCAAACCCTGTCATGAACATCAAATGTCCCTGTTCTGAACCACCTCCCTATTTGCCTATGCAACATAAATGGCTCTTAAAAGATAAGATTTGATAAACATTTCTCAGGCACTCTGAATATCAAGGCTTCTGTTGAATTCCTAGGTTTTATGTATCAATGCCCTAAATGGATATATGTATTCTACCTACTGAATTATAAACACAAATTCATAATTGCAAGATTTCAGATGTTTGGTGTGAACTGCTGTATGAGATCTTACTGTGACACATTCTCAAACCTGTTTGAGAAATCACAAAATGCTTTTTCTTCAAAATATTTGTCTTTCATATCACAATCTGACAGGGTTGACTTTTCTGTAGAACATCTTTTTTTTTAAAAAAAAGTGAAGGGAACAAAATGGTTCCTTTTGTGTATGTCTGTGTAAATATCTATGCAGATGTAAGTGTGTATAGGTGTATACACAGGTACAAATGTTATATGTCCCTCTTACATTCTGGGCAGTCAGGGAGCCACTTGTGGAGTCAACAGTCCTGTGGTGCTGACAGGAGCCTGCTTTGATTGCCTAGAGAGCTACTTAATGCTAACACTACTTTAGCAATTCTAATAATGGGATTTGATCACTTGGCAGGGAGGGAGGAGCTGTTGAGAAACTGGGAACCATTTCATTATTCTACACTGGTTTAATTTCTGCTCAGCCTGTGAATGTACTTGGGTGATTTAATTTGCTCAATTTTTGTTACTAAATTATGTATAAATTTTGAAGTAAAATGAAAAGTCCAGACTCTTTCTCAGCCCCGTGTCTGCATTGCTTGTGCCTGCTTTCTACAGGTGTTCACCAGATCCAGTAGTTTAATATCTGCCAGCCCTCATAAAAGCCTGAGCTCGGAGTCGGAGGGAGAGCGCCAGTTCAATCTCAATGACAATGGCATTCCAACAGCAACTCAGGCTCTAATGACCATGTATCGGCGCAGGTCCCCTGAGGAGTTCAACCCCAAGCTGGTAAAGTACACCTTGGAGTGCTCTACCTCACTGAGAAGGTTGTTAAGTTACGTTTTCTTTCAAATCCATGTTTCTGACCCAGAAGAGTTTTGTTCTGCGGCAGAAATAAAGCACTGAACATGCTGTCGTTCCATCAGTACAAATAACTTCACTACATAAAAAAAGCAAGTTGGATGTGAAAATGGAGAGGTGGTGTGCCTGCTCTTAAGTACAACTGCTTCAACAATATTGTTTTACATAAAGGTCTGCTTAGGTAGCAGCTAAGAAATGGGAGGAGACAGCCCATTAAGAGGAGAGTTGGGCTGTAGCCAAGTTATTTCTTACTCACGTGGAAAGTTGGGATGTTGTGGGCTTTTTAGCACTTAGCACTTCAGTGGGGCAGAGAGAAGCTGCATATTTATGCCTTGCTTTGCTTGTAGGCTAAAGAGTTTTTGAAGGAACAGGCCTGGAAGATTCACTTTGCTGAGTACGGCCAAGGAGTCTGTATGTATCGTACAGAGAAAACCAGAGACCTTGTGCTGAAGGGTATTCCAGAAAGCATGAGAGGGGAACTTTGGCTGCTATTTTCAGGTAGGTATTCATCTGAATATGGCTGTGGGCTATGAGGGAAGAAAGGATTTAAAAGATGTTTAAAGGTGCAGTTAATAAGCATCTAAAAATATTTCGAGCAAGTGTGGCTGTGATTGTTAGCAGGCACCAGACTGGTACAGCCAAGAGTTCTGTTCAGACCAGTAAATATCCTTTCTCAAACAGGCTGAAAGAATTAGGGAAGAGTCCAAAAAAGCAGAATACACACTCTTGTTACCAAAAGCCAGCAGTCCATAGCCTAGTTTCTTCGTGTTCAACAACCACCAGCAGGCCTGCTTCCCATTTATTTAGTTGTTTCTGAATCCAGTTAAGCTTTTGGCCTTCACAGCAAGTTGTTGCAAGGAATCCCAAAGTTTAAGCATGTTTCTTGGAACCACTACCTTTTTCAATATATTTTTTTTTAAAGTTACTTGATTAGGTGCCCCAGTGTGTGAAAAATAGTGAGAAAATATTTCTGTCAATCTTCTCTGCCATCAAAGATACTCTAGGTCTGTGTCCTCTTAGACTTCTTTTCAAAGTTGGGGTATTTTATTCATTTTATTACTAGTTATATGGAAATCAGTCCATCTGTCAGGCTTCCTTCATAAGCTTTCATTTACTGTATGCCTTTTCTAGCTTTGCCTCTCCCTGAGATAGTTACCACAGCTACCCACACTACTTAGGATATGAGCACACTAGGGACTTTGCATGATGACCTCATGATGCTTTCTGCTTTGCTGTCTTTTTGTTGTTGTTGTTTTTTTTCCAATAAAGCTTAATCTTGTCCATCTCTTTGCTGGGCATTAAACAAATGCTTTCAGAAGATAAACACAGGAGTGCACAGATGTGTCCTGTGTCTGATGAATAGCTAGTTTGGGCCAATTTCCATGGTGTTTGCATAATTAGTGTTTTCCATGAGTGTTACTTTGTGCTTTGCTGCTGAGATTCTAATTTCCAGAGAGGTTTTTAAAGTCAGCAGTGAAATCTCATAGCAACTCTGTGAACGTGCAGTGGTGTCCCTGAGACAGGCCAAGGGCCTTGCCCAGGGTGACAGATCCTTTCAGAGGCAGGAATAGAGCTCAGGAGATCCTGTTTCTTACTTTTGGTTGAGAGATAGTTTCTGCAACCAAGCATTAATCCATCCTCAGAGCAAGTAGCCTTCTCAGAGGCATGTTTTGAGTTCTTTAGGAAAATCAAAGCCACAGCCAGCTGCAGAGAGAGTTCATGATACCAGAGGACTTCACAGCTGGTTTGTTCTTCATGTCTCTTGTTTCTTTCTGGCTGAGAGAGAGAGAGGCTTTATCTTCCTTTTTAAAGCCTTGTTGTAAAATGCCTCTAGAGGAGAACACAAGAAGGGGTGATGCCTCAATCACTTAAGCACATCCCTTTCATATTATTTTTTAATCACTTTTACAAAAATAAGCTTGCATATTTGCTTCTGAAGTGCTTGTTGGTGATGTACAAGATAGAAGAGTGAAAGATCATTGTGTTGGGGTACTGTGTCTGCTAACCCTTGCTTTGTTTCTTTGATTTTAATACTGTTCTCCCACTCCCAGGAGCAATTAATGAAATGGCCACACATCCTGGCTATTATGAGGACCTCGTGGAGAAATCAATGGGGAAGTACAATCTTGCTACAGAAGAGATAGAGAGGGACCTGCACCGCTCCCTGCCAGAGCACCCTGCCTTCCAGAACGAGATGGGCATTGCAGCTCTGAGGAGAGTCTTGACAGCTTATGCTTTCAGAAATCCAAACATAGGATACTGTCAGGTAACTGAAACAACCTTGGCCCTCCTTCCATGTCTAGAATTCCAGTTCTTTCCTCACACTCCTATTTCCTCAGTCATGTATTTGGCTGTGTAAAGGACACCAGTGCATGTATAATGCTGTGAGGTGAAGTCTCAGTGCTCTTGGCCCTCCTTCCATGTCTAGAATTCCAGTTCTTTCCTCACACTCCTATTTCCTCAGTCATGTACACGAGTATTTGGCTGTGTAAAGGACACCAGTACACATATAATGCTGTGAGGTGAAGGCTCAGTGCTGCAGAATGACAGTAATGCTGAGGTCAGGGGGGTGTGACACAAGGACCTGCTCTAACAGAAGTATTGGCAGCACGTGCTGTGAGAGATGTGCATCATTTTCTGTAAGCCTCTTTCTTTTTCTGTTTTTTTTTCTGTTTCCTGCCCCTAGACCCAGAGACTGGACAGAGCTATCCTGAAGTGCAGCTACAGAAAATGACAAATGGACTCTGAAGAATCTCTTCTTTTAGGCAGGGAAAATACACCCAACCAACTAGCTTTAATTTTAGCCTTAAATTTATAACTACTTATTCAGTGTATTAGCTGTAATAACCCTACAGAAGATCCTTTACTTTTTGTCAATTATGCCATTCAGTTAATTCAAAACAAAACTAAAAAAAAACCCTACCACACCCAAAGAAACACAACCACCAAATAATAAAGCACCCCAGAAGACATCTTAGCACCGTATACACAACTATGTATTGGTAGAGTTAATGCTGACCAGTGCATGGCTTTGGAGTTCTTATGCCTGTGATTCAGGTCACTTTAGTTTCTGGTTCCAAATATTCTTCCTTGCTATGTAACATGTATCACCTGGGTCCTCTTTTTGCCTTCCTACCTATTTTTGCAAAAAGGAAACGTTAATCAGGCTTGTTAATACTCATGAATTCATGTCTGACTGTTGAGAGTCCTAAGCAGGACAACACACAAGTGAAAGTGCAAGCAGATACCATCATAAATTATTTAATAACAAATATAATAGTAAGTAATGGTTACAACAACTTTGTGTAAAGGTGGTTTAACAGAGGAACAGTGGACACTGTGGTTCTGGTTCCTAAAGTGGTCACAATAGTTGTCAATAGCCTTGCAGCTTTAAGAATGCTGATTCACAGTTACAGGGAGAATTCAGGCACTCAAGTATTTCATACATGGTAGACAAGATAAAAAGCTATGGTGTAGACTTGACAGAGCTGTAAAGTTGTTCTGAGTTTCAGCTGAAAGCTTAGTTAATGTTTCAAACAGGTAATGCTCAAGCTGGAGTCGTAAACTGTTAGAGGATCCAAAGTGGGCAGCTAATTCTTTAGGAGGCAAGCTGAGAAGAAAATGGTACCAAAATGCTTCATTTCTTCAGACTAACAGCCTAGTAGAAGGCTGTAAGTAAATAATTCAGAGGTCACTGTACAATGCTGTGACATTTGAAATGGAGTGTAACAGGCCATAAAAACCCCTCATGTACACAGCCAAACGTGGAGAGTGAGTGACAGCAGGAGATTCCTGCTTCATTCTGCTCTGGGTGGGCACGACTGACACTGTTACAGGCATCTGGCTCAGCAAACAGATGCCAGGTCTTGATCTACCCCCAGGAGCAGGAAGCCTGGGGAGGGCAGGATGCCCCAGTGAGGAGTGGTGCCACAGTGGCCATCAGGAAAGCTGTAGGAGGCATTTTGTCTGCTTCAGACCCAGATTCCCCAGGAGCAACTGTTGGCAGAGTATCGGCAGCAGCATAACTGGATGCTTGCAGACTTGAGTAGGCCCTTGATTATAAAAGAAATCTTGATTTTCTTTTTTATTTTTAAAAACAAACAAACAAACAAAAAAACCCTAACGTTTTCTTCTGATTTGAGGCTTTCTTCAGCCTTTGTTTGAACACTGGGAAAACACTGCCTGCTGTTTTACAGGAAAATACCTGAACCTTTTTGAGTCTGCAGGGGGAGATGTAGCTGATTTCCTAACCATGGTAACCACTTTTCTGCCAGTTACTGGCTAGATACTGAAAAAATGGGTCTAGCAATTTTTGTTTTTCTTTTAGGCTATGAATATTGTGACTTCAGTACTCCTGCTTTATGCAAAAGAAGAGGAAGCCTTCTGGTTGCTGGTGGCTCTGTGTGAACGTATGCTGCCTGACTACTACAACACAAGAGTTGTTGGTATGTTATGGGGAAATTTTCTAGAATGGCAGTACAAAAAATAACCCAATTAACTGGTATTATTTGTATTGAACAAGCATAGATGTTGATGTATGTGTGGCATAGATACAACTGTGAATGCTGGTGGCAAGACAGCTTGATCAGGAACATAGAAGTAGTGCCCTGAAGAGATACTGTGATGGTTGATACCTTTTCATTTAGGGATTAGATCTCATTCTAAAGAGGGCTTAAAGTAAATAAAATAGAGATTGCATGATCCAATTATCTAATTAAGGTAAGGTGGAAACAGGAGCCCTGGGAATTTGCAGAAGTCTTTGTGCCTGTTTGCCTCTGATTTGAAAGGGCACAAGTATCCTGAAGCTGCTGTTGTCAGACAGTTTCCTGGTGTACGTGTAAGTGAAGGGCTCTTCAGTTTATCAGGGGAACTGTTTTTACTGTAGCTCACAAATGCTTGAGATACACATTCAGCCTTAGAAATGGTTTTCCTGGCCAGCCTGAGACACTGATGTTATGGCACAGGTGTGTATAACATGGTTCTCTTGAAAGAAGTGCTCTCAAAAATAAATAAAAATAAACCCTCTCAGGCAGTTGTCTTGGCATCCACCAACAGGTAATGCTGAGGAATCTTACTCTAATTAGTAATAAGTTCTAAGCTGTCATATTACTTCTGTAGGTGCTAGACCAAATTAACCTTTTTTTCAGCTTTTGTGAAGTGTATAATTAAAACAAACAAAAAAATCCCAGTTCAATTTCTGTGTGCAACTCAGTAGTGGAATAGAATCTGTTACTTACCTGCAAGTGAGAAAACGTGTGTAAGCATCACATAGACTATTCTTATGTTTTGTGTTTGTATATATATGTATAGATATTTTTCTCCCCTAAATGGCACTCTGCTCAGTTCCTCCCAAATTAATGGACATCCAACCTTATTGTCCACAGGAGCACTGGTGGATCAGGGTGTCTTTGAAGAGCTGGCTCGTGACTATGTTCCCCAGCTGTATGACTGCATGCAGGACTTGGGTGTGATCTCCACCATTTCCCTGTCCTGGTTCCTCACCCTTTTCCTCAGTGTAATGCCCTTTGAAAGTGCAGTGGTGGTTGTGGATTGTTTCTTCTGTGAAGGAATAAAGGTGATATTTCAATTAGCACTTGCTGTCCTCGATGCTAATGTAGACAAGCTGCTTAACTGTAAAGATGATGGAGAAGCCATGACGGTCTTGGGAAGGTATTTATTACACCAAATAAAGTCTCTTTATTTTTCTCTTTGCTCACTTTTTCTGATTTGTGTTCCTCTGTGTTGAAATACTCAATTTAAACTAGTACAAAATATGCAAATCTTATAGACCCCTTTCACCCATACAAAGTATTCTTTATATTTTCCTAAAATAATACTAAGTGACCAACAAGCTACAAATTCTTATTTCAAGACATTCAAATAAACTTCCCAAACCTGGTTATAGAAACTAATCTTGGTTGATTTAGTTGCTTACGTGGGTTTTGTTACTTCATGTTTTACCTCCTCCTTTTTAAATGCTGCTAACAAAAAAAGCCTTGATCTCAAGGAAATTGTTTTGTCAATGGACTGAACAGAACTCAGAAGAGTTAGGTAGGCTCTTGAGTTGATAGATTTCAGTGTAACAGGAGGATGATAAATAGGCTGCATTGAGTTGTTCCATACAGACTAGTACTGCTGAGAGTAAACTCAGTTTTCCTCATGTTTGGTAGCAATCTTTAGTTTTCAAGATGCTACTGAAACTTCAGAAATCTTTTTCCTAATAAATTTCATTAGTACAGCCTTACTGAAGTCTGGTTTTGATCTCTTTGGGATTAAAGAAGACTGGTTGTGTTTTCTCTGAAGAAAGCCCCAGAGCTTGCTGAGGATTTAAGTGTTCTGCAGCCACAGGGTAGAAGACAGATGATCTATGGTGGGAGGAACAAGCCCTTAGAGCCCCTTTGCAGCGAGGTTGGGCAGTGGTAGGACAGGGAGGTGTGTGGACTGAAGCACACTGACCCCTATTCCCATGGTGTCATAATTCCCTTAGTATATTTAAACAGCCAGAAGCAACTAATCTGTTCAGTAAGCCACTTGTTTGTGGCTAGCCATGTTTGAGCTATTTCTTGATAAGGATAATGAATTACCAGAGGTACCTTAGCTCCCTGTGAGAAAAAACAGTGTTAGGATTTGTCAAATTCCTGATGTCAAAAATGTTGTAGTTCATTAGTAGAGAGTGGCTTAATCATTTTTACATTTAATAATCTATATGTAACCCTTATTCTATTAACCCTCAGAAGGGAGGAGGTACAAATGAATCCTGGGTTTCTAAATTCTTCTTTTTTGTTTTTTTCCTCCAACAGATATTTGGACAGCGTAACTAATAAGGACAGCACTCTTCCACCCATTCCTCATCTTCACTCCCTGCTCAGTGATGATGTAGAGCCTTATCCTGAGGTGGATATCTTCAGACTAATCAGGTCTTCCTATGAGGTAGGATAGGATTTCTTAACAGAAACTTGCCAGCTCACACTAGTTCTGATTTACAGGGGAATTTCATACTCTACAGTTTGCCTTTGCTTGGAAACGAGTGTAAAAGAGATACAGACTCATCTCAGAAGTCTGAAATGGGGCAGGGGAAAGGGGTTAGTCTTTTTCTTTTAACCAAAGCTTTTAATTGGAGCTGTTTTGTATAGAAACCTGCAGCATCAAAGGAGGAGAGCAGCCCACAACCAAAAAGTGGTTTACAAACAAAAGGCTGAACTTGCCATTCAAAAACCTGTTAATTTTCATCTAAGCTTTTTCGTGCTTTTCCAGACTGAAATAGTAGTGAAATCTATATTATTTCAGAAGGTTTTTCTATTAGCAGTGGAACTTTGTTTCTTTTACCTTTTTTTGCCCTTTTTTTAAATTTATTTTTTCAGTATGTGCTGACTATGACCAAGAGCTGCTACCTTCTGTATTATCACCAAAGTTAAAAAAAATTCAGGTGAGAGGGGTTGGTAATAACTAGTATCTGTAAAGCACAGGACAAAGCCTGCAAAAAGCCTGAAATTTTCAAACCAGTTTCATTGTCCTTAAATTTTAAAAATGAGCCATCAATTAAAACACCCCTGATGATTCCACTGACATTTTTAATAATAAAAAGTACTTTTCCTTAATTTCCTTTTCTCCTTTCATTGACACACAAGGTAAAATAGTATTTTTAGTTCAAAATGTAGATTCATACTTAACAATATGACAGCTGTTTCAGAGGCACTTCTGTGTCCCTATAACCTTCTTGCTTTAATACCATGACAGCTATTTAACAAGAGTGTAGGTGGTCCCTACCATATTCTACACTGAAGGGCAAAATGAATCAAGCTAGATGTGTAAGTTCTTCACACTGTGTTAGAATTGAGAAAAGGAAGTTTATGTTCAATTCAGTTTCCCTTATAGTCTTCTGATTCCCTCATCATAAAGACAGCTTGCATTGGCTTAACTGCTTTTTGATTAATCACCTGACTCCATGCAGAGCCAGTCTGTCTTTTGGGGGCTTATGCAGCACAGAACCTTGTAGCTCCTTCTAGATAAAGAACCAGCTGTACTCCAGTATAATTAAGCAAAACAAATAGCATGGGGAGTGAAGACCTGGGAGGAAAGCAGGATTTGGTTGCAAAGAGAATGAGTTTCAGGAGAGTCATTGGTTGTTTTGATGATTAAAAACTGAAACACAACAATTAAATGGTAAATTATCAAGGCAAAACTTGAAGGCATCTGTTGCTCAAAGGCTTAGATTCCTCATTTAGTTGGGTGTACTCAAAGCTGGGAAGTCACTGTTAGCTCTGTTGCAGGAACAAAGAGCAAAACATCAAGTAAGTGAAAACATCATTACTGGTTTTAGATTTTAAGGTATTAAATGTACTTGCTGGGTAATCACCTATCCTTAATCTTCTAGACATTTATTGTTTAGGAAAAAAAATAGGAAGTGCTACAGCTTAAAAAAAAAAAAAAAGCTTAGAGTCCTTTGCCCTCCCTCAAACCCTCAAACACAAAACTCCCCAAGGAGTGGAAAACCTTTTCCCTTGTAGATTGTCCTGTGACATTTTTCATGATGTGTCTGAGAACTTGGTGAAGGCATAGCACTGGCAGAAGCACAATATTTTGATGGTTTTAGGAAGAGCTGCTTTCCATCATGCTCTGATCCTGTCAGTTCTTAGGTGAGCGTGTCAGGTGCATAAATGAGAAGCCTTCAGTGAGAGCTGAAGTGATACAGATTAATTTTTCTGGTAGTAAAGCAATTAGCAGCCCTTTCTGTGATAATACTGAGCTGACTTTCTACTTCTGACAGAGAAACATTCTTGAAATAAAAGAATATACATAACAAGTACATTTTACTCTGCCAGTAATTTCTTAATTTGCTGAAATTACTTTTTAGTAATAAACCTCTTTTCATTCAATTTTGGAGTTAATTCAGAAGCCATAGAGCCTGGTGTTATAATAATTACAACAGAATTGACTGAAGTAATGTGTCATCACTACAGCTTTAAAACCTGTGCATAGCTTACTAGCTCTCCATTGAGTGTAGACTCATCTGCAGAGTTGTGATGTGCCTGGGTGGTTGTTCTGTGCTTGGGCTGTGCCTTAGTTAATTTGGAAAAGAAAAATACTGCCTAAACATTTAAGCTACATCTATAGTAGAATCTGGGTTTGGCTTTTGTAACCCAACTGCTGACACTCATCTGCTGTTGAAAGGTTTGATACAGTTTTGACCCAGAACAATTGACACTCTTCCAACAATTCCTTGCATGATTTGAAAGCTAATAGGAGAAAGGGACCACTCCCAGAAAGTAACTGCACACAACCTCCTTTTTCTGCAGGCCACGTGAGTTTTAGTTGTGTGGATGTCAACAGACCATCTGATTTGGGCCCCAGACCAGAGAATAAGCCCTGATTACTAGAAGAGGTGTGGCCTCAGAGCCACAAAAGGCCTCTTTTTTTCAAGGTTTTGTGATGCTTGATGTTCATGGATGTTTATCTAGATTCCAGTTTTTTCAAAAGACTTCTTTATTTGCAAAATGCCCCAAGTACATGAAGTGTCTGTTTATTTCCAAGGTATGAGGTGCACAGTTTTGCAGATAAACTCAGCTTTAGCCTTAACTTCATGACACAAGCATGTGCTGGCAGATTGTGCCCTGCTGATGTAGATGCCCTTGTGCTGGGAGTGTAAACCCCTTCTGTATGAAAGCACATCTTGCCACCCCACTTAGTTTTACATCTGGCATACCTGATGTCTGGCATTATTGCTCCTGCTGGTGACCTGTGCACTTCTAAGTGTGTTACAAGTGTTTCCTTGATGGCAAATAAATCTTATACTTACACTTCACATAAATAAACCTTGGGGATGAGGCATTCCCCCATGTACAAAAACACAGGATATTGTTCCTAAGAGGTTTTCCCCTAGGAAACTTCTGTGGTATAGCCAAGAGACTTCTAACTACTGAGATCACAGTTTGAAATGTGAAGATTTGTAACTTAGTGAAGACCTTTCAAAATTAAATGAAAATAAGTTGTTGGGGTAAATTAAATCTAGTGATATGTTGCTAAACTTCATAACTTTGTCATGTGTTAGACAAACGCCTTAACAGCATTTTAAAAATCTACCATTTGTGGTCTGTCACATAATTACATTAATTTCTCAAATACCTTAAGGGCAAGCCAAGTATTTCAAATGTTAATACAGAGACTATCCTGTACTCCTTTTTCTCTTCTAAGAAATTTGGAAGTATCCGGGCGGATTTAATTGAACAGATGAGATTCAAACAGAGGCTGAAAGTTATCCAGACCCTTGAAGATACCACGAAGCGCAACGTGGTAAGCTCTGAGATAATCCTGTTTGCAGGGACTCAGTTTCTGAAATTAAATCAGCTTTTCAGTGAGAAAGGGTTCAAATCAACTGTTAATATTTTGTTTCTAAAGGTACGAACCATTGTGACAGAGACTTCTTTTACTATTGATGAACTGGAGGAACTGTATGCTCTTTTCAAGGTAAAGCTAAGTGCAGATAAGATCATGTGCCTGCAGGAAATGCAGATGTTTGTTCTTGATGTGGAACTGTGTCTTTTCTAAAGTCCAGGTCAAGTCTCTGAGTTACTATTGAGTATCTTAATATGAACTTGAATTAGCTGCTGTACTGTTGAATATACAAAAAAACCCAAACCAACAATATAAAATCACAACCATTTTGAAAAGCTCAGGAGACAAATAATTCACTAAATTATTTATCCATGGAAAAAAAATGAATATACTGATTAAAAACTATTATAATGAAAAAATGCACAGGTAAAGGCTTTTGATCAGGTTTTAGAAACTTGTGTATATGTCTCTCTACTCAAGTTTTGCAACTGAGCATAGAAATACCTTTATTCTACTCTCAGACAATTAATATTTCCATACCACAACAGCTGAATTTTGCCTTTGTTAATGCTTTAATGTGTACTGCATTACATACAGATTTAGTGTCACAGAGTAAGTTGATTGTACAGCAATACCATTAGAGCCACAGGTTTAAAGATGAGCAATTAAAATGCTTTAGCTTCATCTTCATGTACAGTGCTTTAAAACAAGATACTTCATTCCTGGTTTGTTGTAACAGCTTTTTTTGGTATAACAAACAATATATTTTCTTTCAATTTCACATCTGTAATATCAGGTCTTAAAATTGTCCAGATCCTGCAGTGCCTTCTTTCAGTCTTCCATGGAATCAGTGAGGCCAAGCCAGACAGTCCATCCTGGCTCATAGCTGTGCAGTGCTAGGAGCCCTTTCTCTGAGCTACTGAGTCATTTTGAATTAGACTCCACTGGAATCAGCACCAGAACCTTCACTGACTTGAGTAAGACTGAAAAAGCAGGACTTGAGACAATATTTTTGAGACTATACAGTTCAACAAAAAAATATTTCAAATAAGGAGCTCTTTTCACATGCCCTGGAATTAAAGGTTTCATGAGAGTCCCCTTCCTGACTTGACTGTGGTGAGGTTGAAGCGGGTGACTAGGCATATCTGTAAGTCACTGCTGCTTACTGCTCTGTTGGAAACAGGGATTCCGTGTTTCATCTGTATGGGAAACAGAAGTTTTGCTTTATCTTTTTATTTTTTGTAGAGGGCTCTCTTTTTGTGCTAGTAGAAGCCTCTTGCAGCAGTGCAGGGGGTAGGCAGATGGAAATAAACCTGCTAGCGTTGTGTTGTCTTAATGATGTGTGTGTGGGAGTTTGGATGTTTTTCAATCCCTGATAGCAGTTAGTGGTTTAAATAAACCTGCTAGCGTTGTGTTGTCTCAATGATGTGTGTGTATGAGCTTGGATGTTTTTCAATCCCTGATAGTGGGTCGTTCACAGAGGTGGCGACAACCTCACCG